ACTAATTGCCCTTGGGATAGGTGGTGGTGAACTGCCTTCTTGAAGAACTGAAGTCCATTTGATGTTGGTACACCTGCAATGCTATCAGGGAGGGGATTTCAGAACTTTGACCCGGTGACACTGAAGGAACAGTAACATTTTCCAAATCAGTCAATGCTGTAGCACAGTCAGGGGGGATGCACCCTGTGAACTTGTGTCAGAGAAGAATATTGTTCCTGTGTGCACGGCCGATGAGCAGCTGCAGAGGAAATCCCCTCCCTCACCAGTCGGCTCACTTACCCAACCCATCGTGGGTCCCTTCCCAGCCATTCGCCTCAACATTGCACACTGTTCATGAGCTTCATGGTTGGTGTGATAGTGAGTGATCCTCTGTGAGTAGTTTTCAGCCTCAGTGTTAACGTTCTGCTGAAACCCCAAAATCACCCTCTCTTTTCCAGTTGTGCATTCCATTTAACCCACCAGCACTTCCCCATTCAAGCTGTGTGCATGTAACTAAACCAGTCGACATATCCCTCTTTCCCTCCATGTTCCCCAGTCTCTTTCCCCAACTCCTTAGCTCTAGCCCCTTTCCCCAAGTTGAAGACATAAAGAGTCCACTCTGGTTTCCATTTGGGGTTTTCCTGAAGGCTAGTTGTTATGTTGAATTTGGAAACCACAGAAAGTTGTGTGCACAGCCCAGACCATCACGCAAGCCAACCTCCCATCTGTTGACTCCATCTATACTTCTCATTGCCGCAGAAAGGGTCTAGGCCCGAAACGTCAGCCTTCCTGCTCCTCTGATGCTGCTTGGCCTGCTGTGTTCATCCAGCTCTACATCTTGTTATCTCAGTTTCTCCAGCATCTGCAGTTCCTGCTATTTCTCTAACCTTGTATTCCTTGCTCTGTCTAAACACTCTATGATCTGTATGTCCTTGTATGTTATAATCTGCATGTATTGCTCACAAAACAAAACTTTCCACTGTGTTCAGGTACATGTGATAACAATAAGTCAAATCAAATCAATAAAGATCATATGCCAAGTTGGGCTGTTAATGAGCCATTTAACAAGCAATAATGATCATATGCTAGGGACTGATCATGGCCTAGTGAGAATCTTGCCACACCACTTGAGAAGAGTGAACAAGATGCAGCAAGATAATCTCCATGTTGAAACTGGCCTTGCCGAATATCTCACTCAATTCTACCGATCATCTTGCCAGAGTCTACGTCATCCAAAGCCTGGTAAGTTTCTACATAAAGTCTTTAACAGCCTTGTCCGATAACTTCCTCTCTGACACCTTCACAGACTTCTGCTTTTGAAGCTTTCTTCTCACTAACTTCTAAGCACCTGAGGATTTCTCCCCAGCCCTGACTGCTTGGAGACTGATATTAACAGCACTTCTGCTGCTATGGGCCTCTTCTCCCATTCATAAAGCTGATTCTTGTTCCTTCTCTCTCTCCCCCGTGGCAAATACATAAGAAATTATCTCCTCACATGCATGCTGGGTCTGTAGCTGAAAACACATGACTTTTTGTAAATGCAGCTTGGAACTCATTGTTCTAATTCATTGAAGCAAAAAACTAAAATCTACTTTTCTTCCATTTTAGAACCTGTGATCTCAAATAATAATATTAGTATATTGTGAACCTTCATGACACAATTAAGAGTTTTATAATTCTGTTTGCTAGTTCTCTCACTATAATGTTGCAAGTTTGCCCCTTATCTCTGCATCTGTAAATGAATTGAAGAATGGTCTTGCTTGCTTATGTTATAAAACACATGGATTCCAGCTGCTGTATTGTAAGGTTCAGCCTCACTCATACTTCACCTTCTAGTATTGACAATATTTTATCTGGAATTTTAAGGTCATTGTCCAACAGTTCTGAAGTGTTCAGTTTGTGTGGGCCTCTATATTTCCTTACCAATTTTAATCTTATTGGCCTGTTTATCTGGTTCTGAAATATTGCAGTCCAGAAAAGATATGTTCTGTGCATTATCAGAACAAAGTGAACTCAAGCAGGAGATTCAAAATTTGTTGCATTTTATGGTCATCCTGTGGCTTTTACAGGACTATTAAGAGTGTCTGGAACAGACAACTATCCAGACTTTCCTTTTACACCTCGTCAGAACTCATGGCTTGGCTCCCTGGATAGCAGCACTGGACTAGTCCCAGCTGGATCAGACATTGTTCTTGACTGCAATGATACAGCTCTTCCTGCTTTCCTGAATTAGATGAAACGTCACCCATAAGACGGTGATTCTGGATCAAAAGGCTTCGGGGGGAAAATTTTACTCAGAGAGAGAAACTTTATGCAGTCTTCCTTAAACTGTTGACTGTTAATAGATGGAGTCCTCTAAGTCAAAGTCTAGAATTTCATCATTTCTTGACCTCCTGAATGGATAATAAGAAGCAGTAATTTGTTCCTCTTTCTATGAAGTTCTGTTTAAAGCCAAACCCTTCAGAATCACCCAATGAATCATTTTTGGTGCACAAACTTTACAGCAGGTATATCTACATTAATTAAGCTCTCCCATATTTGAGCAATTGCATCAGGATCCAATGCTAGCCTGAGCGAGGTGTGCTGTCCCAAAACGAAGGTACAGTGTATAGGATTCTTGTAGCACTGCAGACTGATTTACACACAGTAAGTTAATACCTGATGGTTGTTTCATTTCCATATTAGTTCCTTGTGCCAATTTCATTTAAATAAAGCCTTTTTGTGGATCCTTTTACTCTGAACTATCTCAGTTATTTAAAATGCTATTCTAACAATTGACTTTACTGGGATTTAGTTCAAAGAGGCTGAAATTACAAAGGAGAAAAGGCTGGCAAAACATTGTGACTACAATTTGTTTGCTACACAAACAGAAAGCTCCAGAAGGTTTAATTAGTCCAACTCATATCAATCTCCTCATGAAAAGTACAATAGAGTAGGCAGTGCATCTGTTTCTGGATGTTGTGCATTGCTGTTTATTTTAGAAGCTTCTGAAATCTTTAACAGCAGGGCAGACGATAGGAAACGGAAATAGAAATCCACTGGGGAGCATGTTCTGAACACTCTAATTTTCCTGCAAGTTTACAGGGGTCACAATATGCTCACCCTATTGTAGTTACATACAAATTCAAAAACAACACTTCAATAACCACCCTCATTAATGTAATATCTATATAAAACATAGTGGAATGCCTCACAGGAGTTTACTTAAACTTCTGTCATGTTCCCTATCATTTGTATTCTTAGGCCAGCTGTCCAGTGTTTGAATGATAGTGGACATCACCTTGGATCAAAAAATAAAGAGGGGCCTTTAAAAGGGTTCTTGGGCTGTGTCCAAGCACAGAGCCTTTTATCCAAATGGAATTTTTATTGAAGTAAAATAAAATTTTATAGACTATAGACAAAATGTTGAAGGAAAGTTTAATGATGAGTATGTAAATAATCCTGAGACTAGAAATAGGGCTAGGCTTAATTAAGTATCAAAATTGACAGTAATTAGAGAAGCAAAGACATAGAACTGACCACAGTAATGTGTTTGTCGCTATTGAAGAGCTTGAAGCTGCAGATCTGAGGCACTGAGGTCTAAATGTGTGTTTTTAACATTAACAAACTAAACTTGGAAAATGGTAGCAGTATGTCAAACTTTGCAGACAACGATAAATCTTGGGTTATAGCTAATATTTGGGCAGAATGCAACAAAATAAATCAAGACGTTAAAAATAAGTTGCAGAATGGAATTGTACTGGAAAAATATCATTATTGATTTGTGTGAAGTGGTGTGCTGTGACAGGAAGAATACATTAAGCCCAATAAAAACAAATATTTTGGAAATAAGACCCACTCAAAATATCTAAACATCTAAAAGATCTACTAAAGTGAAACCATTAACAGAAGTTTTAATAAATGCTGGGATGCAGTGAATGGGTATTTAAATGCTGAAAGATTGTTTAGTTCGGAGTATAAAACCTGCATTTATATTATTGCATAATTTTGCTCATTGTAAAATGTCCACTGATACATATAGAGCTCAGACTTCAATACCAACTTGCATTTTATGGCACCTTTAATACAGTAAAATGCCTCAAAAAATTAGATATGAGCCATTACTAGAAGTCAGGGCATATTGAATATTATTGAACTGTAATACCAAAATTGTATTATCTGAACAGGGCAAAAAGAAAATGGGTGAATTAGAGACAAATAAAGCACAAGGTAAATAAAGAGCAGAGGGAAAAATTGGATTCATTGGAACAAAGCTAGAAAGGTTAAAACTGTTTATATTTTAAATATCTCTAATACAAGCTTACTACTGACAGGAAAGAGATGGAACAGTTTAAGCTGAGATGATTGACATTGTACTTAATAGTTGTCATGGCTGAATATTCATGAAAAAGTACGCATTTTGTCAAACCTTTCGTTTCACACTCATCGAGACAAAAGTACCAGAGAAGGAGAACAACAATATTTCTACTTTGTGAGAGAAGAGTACTGATTGGGGTGGCAGGTTCACTCTAATTGGTTAGGGTATTGCGCTACAAAAAGAACCAGCGAATGGCTACCCCTTAATTTATTAAATTGAAACAGACGCAATACATGCACAATTTCTTTCTGTGTACAAAGAACCGAGCCTTGTGGTTTTATGTAAAGGGGTTTCCGATTTATAATGGCCTGACTGACCAATACTCGTATGTACACGATCCCATACGGGATGTAATGTTAAAGATCCGAGATATGAACATTTCTTGTACTTAGAAACAGCTATTTTATATTGCCCCGAACGGTGTTCCGATTTGTGTACAAATTTTCTTGCGAACTGACACAAGAACAGAACCCATTCGCAACCCAGGGACTGCCTATGCGTAGCGTTTTGTACACACACGTGCTACACTGCAAGTTCGAATGATTGCCTTAAATTGGATATCCGTGAAATTCTTCACACCTTCAGGATTATTCAGCAGATGTTGTCCATTTGCAAAACCACGTCTAATGTTTGTGAGCTTTCCAAGTGCAGGCTTGTTGGTTTCAGTTAGCAACTCACTTGTTGTGAACAGCTGAAGGATATGCTATTTGATACAATCTGCCAGTCTTTGGGAATTATGGTTTACCAATCTGGCACTGAAAGTCATATATCACATCCCTCATTTGTGTGAAAGAAGGACATCCCATGAGTAACCAACACCACTCTTAATCGTAGTAGCATGAAACAGGTAGCTTCACCTCTTTCTTAAACCTAAGAGATACTTTACCCTTCCAGAGTAATCTGAGGTCGCCCGGGGGGTTTTTCAAGAACAAGAGTGACCACCTTTCATGAATTTGTGATGTAGAGTTGTGGACTCTGGGGGCCGGTTAGCTTTGTTGGCTGGATAGTTGGTTTGGGATGCGGAGTGACACTAACAGTGTGCGTTCTGTTCCTGCATTGGCTGAGGTTACGGTGAGGGACTCTCCTTCTCAACGTCACCTGAGGGTGTGGTGACCCTCAGGATAAAACCACCACCAGTCACCCCTCTGTCTCTCTCTGATGAGAGAATAGCCCTAAGCGGGCTCACAGTGCAATGCACCCGCATATACTGGAAGCTGCTGCATGTATGTTAATGTTCTGTTTTTATTTCTGATGTCCAATACCTGCAAATATTTTCCCTCCTCAAACTACCATCGATAGAACGCTCATGAATGTCCTTGGGGGAAGGAGACCTGAGGCTTGGCTTACGTGTGACTCCAGACCCACATCAATATGGTTGGCTCCCTTCAGCAAATCCCTGGAAAGTCACCCAAGTTCAACGGCATTTACTTACGAGCAATAACTGCTGGCTTTAATTTCTGAGTCCATTGAAAGGTTTAAATAATCAGCAGTATACCCTTCCCTCTACATAGGATATGTACAGGTGTGGGTTAGTTAGGCATTGCCAAACCAATTCCGAATTTTGAGCTTTATCCATTTCCCCCCAGGATGATGTTGACAGTCTGTGTGTGGCTTTCCCTCTCCTGGTTATGAGCTCCTCCTGCAATGCAGGGGTAACCTGGTGCTCAGTTGCACAAAGCAGGCGATCAGGAACCGATAGAAATTGGTCTCAGGGATCCAGGGAAGAATTTCAACGCGGCTGGGCGTTTCCTAGCAACTAGTAAACACTGGCGAAGCCATGGCTGCAGAAAGGGCTGTGAAACCACCTTTTACTTTCAGACATCTGGGTAACAAGAAGATCAACTTCCTGGAAGGCAGTAAAATCAGAGACCTCTTTATGAAATGGTAAAATCTGCAAAGCCATGGGAAAGAAATGATGAGAGCCTGAGGCTGGGAACAATGTGTACAACAGAGATCAGAGAGTTACCGAATAATGTATTCACTTATTGTGTTTATTTAAATATTATCTATTATTGTTTACAGTTATCAGGCGGCCAGGCAGGCCCCTCTGGGTAACGAATTGACAGTGTAACTCAAAGAAATTCACCATCGTTAGGCCACAAAAAAAAACGCGTTTCTCTTCTAAAAAGCTAATCCTGAAATCGTGTTCTCATAAAAATTTCCCCTTTCTGGAATTTTCCATCATGTCAGGTCAATGCATGGAAGGATTACCGTGCAGGTTTTCAGTTTTGACCAATGCTTCCAGTCTTATGAAAAGGACAGTTTTGTACTGGTAAGTTCTCCAGTTCTTTCTCATACATTACTGAATCTCACATTTGCTTCAATAGTATTTTTGGAGTTATGGTGCTGTTTGTATTTTCACCTCAAATGTCCGTTTACAGAATCTTGCTGGGGGATCACATTGTTTTGAAAAGACTTCTTTGGTGTATGGATCTTGTACCCAGTAAATGTTTGAGCTTATTCGTATCTAGCAGTTTTTATTTCTCAAAATTTGGTGGAAAAATTCTTTGAAATATAATGTTGGATTCAGACGTCGATAAAATAAATTCCTGCTGTATGTTCTGATTATCAATATGTTATGACAGCAGTAACTATCATTATTTACAGTGACTTAGATCAAAAAGATCAAGGCTTTTTTGCTTCAAGGACCAAAGTAACAGTCCCTGATACCTCAGCCCCCCTCCCCCAACTCACAGGTGTGTACACACAAATCACCACCTCCACCTTAATTACAGTGCTACAGTGCTACAGCATACTCATAATATAAAGATGTGCTTCATTTTTATACATAAAAATATCTCCCCACAACTCCCAGTCAGGTGGATGTTACATTCCAGAAAGACAGTTTATAGAATCCCTACGGTGTGAGGGCAGCCATTCAGCCCATCAAGTCTTCTCCAAAGAGCATCCCATCCAGACCCCATTACCCAACCCCAGCCCATATCCCTGCAATTCCTACGGTGGATCCACCTAGCCTGCACATCTTTGGACTGTGGAAGGAAACCCACGCAGACACGGAAAATGTGCAAACTCCACGCAAACAGTTGCTTGAGGCTGGAATTGAACCCAGGTCCCTGCTGCTGTGAGGTAGCAGTGCTAGCCACTGAGCTACCCCCTTAGTGAAGTGAAGAATAGAATAGAACAGAACAGAACCAGAATAAATCTTTACACATTTTTATAATCATTTATTTAGACAATTACACATTACAAGGATGTACCTTCTAGCTCAACTGTCTAAAATATATTTTAATTATCCCGTTCAGACATGTTGATACACACATCTGGGTCAGGTGGGACTTTAACCTGGTAGAGAGCCAGGGATCCTAGCACAGCACCACAACATCTTCCAGTCAGTCTATTGGGAATAAGTGGATTCTAGTTATTACTCACCATCTGCCTACAATTAATACACATCAACAATTAAAGGGGGCACTTGTGGTGTCCTATCTCTGAACTAGAAGCCATGGGTTTTAGTCCCACCTGCTCCAGAGGCACATATAACATCTCTGAATAGGTTGATTAAAAATACTTGTACAATTAAAAATTACGGGCACTTGTGATGCAGTGGTAATGCTCGTGTCCCTGCCTGTGAGCCAATTAGGCCTGGGTTCAAGTCCCAGCTGCTATAGAGGTGTGTAATAACATCTCAAGTTGATTAGAAAATATTAACAATGGGTGTGCCTGCTTCTCACTGCAAAACATGTCTACTTTTGGTAGGAGCACAGAGTGAGCAGAAATCTCAGTAAAATCATACAAGGAGCACTTGTGAAGCACAGCAACGGAGGAAGTAGGGGTCCTGGGCAGAAGGGGAGCTAGGGGGAAAAAAAAAACTGAGGCCTAGAGAGAATAGGAAGCTGAGAAAGCAGCAAGGAACAGAGGAAGTGCAGTGTTTAATCAGAGTTGAGCACAGAGGTACTGGTTCCAAAGGGGATCCAACACTTCCTCCAATGTTGCGTTTGTTTGAATTTCATGTCTTTGACCTGGGTATGTGGACAATTTTATGAAAGTAAAACAAAACAAAGAACTACTGGATAAACTCAGCAGGTCTGACAGCATCTGTGGAGGGAAACACTTTCCTCAGATGTTGCTGGGCCTGCTGAGTTTCTCTAGCAATTTCTGCTTAGCTTTTATGAATAAGGGTTGTTCAGGTACGTAGAATCTTCAACCAGTGTGAAAGGTCACCGAAAATACAAATGTTTTGGGTCTAGCTCAGTTCCAGTTCACTAATTGTTTACACTGGTTTGATGGATTTTGTTCAGATTTCTCACTAGTGCAAATGAGCAGAAACTATGCTGTTGTTCTTTGCTTTGAGTCAAATGAATGTGAGAGAAAAATAGGGTGTAAATATGTGTTTGAATGTTACGGTTCTCCAACCAAAGCTGTAAACTTGTGGAAAATAATAAGTGACTATTTCAGTTTCGTAGAAGCAATAGAATAGGACAACATACTCTACAAGAGTGGAACAGATCATTAGAAGAAGGAAAGAAAGACTTGTATTCATATTGTGCCATCTAAGATTTTAGGCGATCCTAAAGTGCTTTACAGCCAGTCTAGTCACTTTGAAATGTTACTAGTTATTCTTGTAATTAATGTAGGAGATGTGGTTTCAATTTGTGCAGCAATATAATTATGACCAGATCATCTGTTTTAACTTGTTGATGATGAGATAAATAGTGGCAAATCCCACCCCTCTGCTCTTCTTCAAAATAAAACCCTCTAAATTTTGTCTCATTCAGAGAGCAGACAGAGCCTCAGTAAAATGCCCCACCTGAATGATTGCCATGCAAACAACAGAGCACTTCCTTAGTTGGGTTTTGCATCACCAATTTAGATTTTGTACTCTAGAACTTAGAGTAGGACTTGAAACTGTAACCTTCTGACCAAGAACGTAGAGTACTTTTAGAGAGCGACAGCTGACACAAATTGCTATGTTAGAATTGATAGCGGCAAAAAATAAATTTATAGCTAGGCCCTTTTATATTTCCGGGATCCCAAAGCAATTCATGACCAATGAGTTATTTTTGAATTGCAATTACAGTTATGTAAACATATATTTAGAAGTATGTGTGAGAAATCCATTGACAGATAGTTACTGTATCTATTCATTAGATTTATTCATTTTTATGCCTTTTTTTAATCCAATAGGCATTTTTCCAGGATCCAAATGTTTTGGCTAATCTAAAAGTACTCTCACCTTTATCTTCTCAATGGACAACTCTAGGTATGGATAATGTTATATACATTACTGACAAGGCTGTTGTTAGTGACACCACTTGGTTTATTTAAATTCAATGTGATTGAGATGGATTTTGATTGAACACCAATCACTGTTTGTACCTTCTTTATAAATATGTACAGATATTGATGATATGTTTCCATGTATCTTTAATTCTGTCTAAATAGGGAAAGAAGTTAAGGAAATAGAGGCTGAAGAGGTTCCTTGTAATCAACTTTCAATGTTATTCTTTGACTGTTTGTACACTGAAGGGATTGTGCGAGAAACAGGACACATTACAAAATGTCTGGATGAGTTTTATGAGGACTTTGTTATCTCTGATCAGCTGCGGCAGGTAAGATATTTGTGGAACAGAAAATGCCATTTTGTGTTCATGGCATCTCTACACATAATTTCATTTTAATGATGCAAGTGAACGTATTGCTTGTTTCACAAATGAAACATTGCTGTTTTGGTTCTAGTACCTGAATGTGCCTACCACGACAGAGATGAATTTTCACTTCTTAGCTTACTGTAAGATGGAGAGCTTTGCAGGTGCAGTGTGTTCGTCAGATGAAATAAAGTATTTATATAGCTTATTTTAAAGAAATATGATTAATGGGATCCCAGACCACAGTGCAGTTGTATAATTATGCAATTTATAGAGATTATTCTCTGCTTCCACCTCTCTGTCCACACATGTAAACCTATCTCTCTGACCATGCTTTCAATCATCTGTAACAAAACCGGCTGGAGAAACTCAGCAGGCCTGTGGGAAGAAAGCAGAGTTAATGTCTTGAGTCCGATGACACTCTATCAGAACTGATAGTTGCTAGGAAAAAAAGTGCTTTATGCTGACACTGAAGTGGCAGTGGGGGGAAGGTGGATGTGAGCAGATAAGTGGAGATGAGCAGAGAGAGAGAGAGAAAGATGAAAGGGGTTGGTAAACGAGGAGATTATGGATAGCAGGCCAGGACAGAAGAAAAGCTGAGTAAGGAATAATAAGAGCTGAGAATGAGAAAATGGGTCTCTAGGAGTACATAGGAATGGGTGACTGTGCTAAAAGCATCCTATGCCTGACTTCATAAAACAATTAAATATCTTGCATTATTAAGCTTCAGTCTAAGGGACTGTATACTTCATGATCACTGCTCTGAGCACAACTACCAACTGCATAATGTCATCTCGGCTTGACCAGATCTTTTTAAGGGTGTTCATTTGCACGGTTGTTTTTCCCTGTCTCAGTTGCACACCATAAGGCATTTTGTCACTGTGAATAAAATGCTTCAAGAGTTTGCATTAAACGAGAGAAGATTACACAGTTCAATTTATATCATTTGCAACCATGCTTACATGAACCCCATTACTGCTACCTTTTGTGTTTTTATTTGATTCATGCACTTATTAATGCATTATGCCTGTCAATATCTATAATTGCATTCTCTTAGCTTCCTTTTGAAAGAAAACTGGCTGTCACAACAGAGGTTCGCTAGCTTTACCCTAGGGTTTCTCGACCTCCATTCTTTATCCTTATGAAGGAGAGGCTTTAGAGTTTCCAGAGGGACATACAGAAGTGTTTCAGATGTAGGAAAATCAGAGAGCTGGTGAAAGCTGGGAGTTTATTGTGGCATTTGGTTTATTTTACTGCTCTGGCTGTTGGATCATGTGTACACTACAAATTTCTAAGAAACCTTAAAATAACTTTTTCCACAGAAGGTCACATGTAAAATCTCCTTGTCAGCCATTTGTCCTTGCATCTCCTCTTCCTCCACCTTCCTGTCAGACAGAAGAAGCAGAATTTTCAATCCAATATATGCAATGATGACGTACCTAGCCACACTGCCTCCAAAATTAGCAGCACTGCATTGCTGAAACATCCCTCATCGTCCCGAGCATCAGCAAAGGGAGTTATCTCTGGGTAGCGATAATGGGTGAGCCACAGCAGAGAACACGATGATATACAAAGCATGAATGAGTATGGAGAGATGGAAGAGAAGATATTGAGCCAAAGTTTGGGGAAATCACAGAACGTAGCCCTTAGCTGCAGAGCCTCTGCGTCCAGACCTGAACAATCTGGTTATTAAAAGAAATATTTTGAAAGCATCAAACACAAGTTGAGGTGTGCAGAGTATTTTCCAAAAACTGAAACTGTAGGCTATTTCTCTGCTTCAAATAAGAAGAAAACAATAAACTTCCACGGATTACCCGCAACTTTCTCATCACATCACATCACATCACGTTCAGAATATTGCTGGTTGAAATGGAAAATATACAAGATGTCAGAGAGGCCAGTAGGTTGAATTATTTATTCAGAAATAAATTGAATTCAAAAGTTAACTGACTGGGGACTATCTAATGTAATGGACCAAACCAAACCCGTCTCGAATATATTAAGGAGATAGCTTAGACCCTAACTTTTAACTTATTTAAAGGCATGTGTAAAGTGCTGTGTTCCGGGTGTAATTTGATTATACTGCTTGGCTTTAAGCAAAGCACACTTTATTCTTACTCGGTTAGAAGAGAAAAAAAAGAAGAATTGGTATAACTCTATTCAAAAACTTAACAGAATAATTGATTATTTAACTACTAAACAATAACTATTTCAATGTAGTGATGTTCCATAAACACACCCTTGGCAAAGGCAAATTCATTAAAATAGATTGTCTTACATGCAATTTGTCTCCAGTCCAGGAGGAAAGAACACCAAGAGAAAATTATGGTAGAAAGAGATGAATGGCAGCTCCCACAACCAACTTCAAACCCCAACAACTGCTGAAAGCTACAATAAAACCCTGGTTCCATGGGAGCCTGACCCTACCCATTCATGCTACTTCTATTGTTCCAACTCTTTTAAAAGAAACAAGTTCTCACAAGCTATTTGCTTTATTGGCTTCGAATTGACAGCACCTAAGGCTCAAAACCTCTCTTCAAAAAAAAAATCACAGACAAAATACCTCTCTTACAGCCATAGTATCATTACACTAGAGGTCAGTGTTTATTCTTTCCATTACATAACCTTTGTAGTTCAATTTTTCCTTTAACTAATTGAGAACAATGTGACATACAAAATTTGATTTAATAACATATATGTATAAATATACAAATATACACGAAATATTCTCTAAGATATCATTTCTTCTCTGATCCCGAACTCTTGAGCATCTCCAATTTTAATGTCTCTGCCATTGATGGCAGTTCCACCACCTACTGAGGCCTTAAGCTCCGGAATTCCCTCCTTTCTATCTATCCATCTTCTCTCCTTTTAAGATAATCCTTTGAACCTGCACCTTCAATCAAGCTTGTGCTTTTTTTTGGTCTATTCAGTTTTTTTTTAAATAAGGCTCCTGGAGACTCCCTGAAACATTTCACTTCCTTTTAAATGTTTCATAAATATACCTTGTTTTTAACTACACTCCACCTTACAGTAAACTTGGCCCAGACTTTGTGGGGTTAAGATGGTGAACTGTCAGCATTTGCCTTCCTTACCCCTTTGAAACTGACCACAACTTTGTGATTTAGCACAAGTAAATATGGCTTTACTTATGGAGGATATTCCTGAGAGAATGTCCAGTGAAGTCATATGGTGGAACTTAGGAATAAGACAGGGATGATCACCTTGTTGGGATTGTACTGTAGACCCTCCAATAATCAGTGGAAAATTGAGAAGCAAAAATATAAGGAGATCTCGGACATCTGTAAGTATAATAAGGGATTTTAACTTTCTAAACATAGACTGGGACTGACATAGTATTAAGGGCTTAGATGGGGAGGAATTTGTTATGTGAGAGAATTTTCTTCATCAACATGTAGATGTACGTCCTAGAGAAGGAGCAAAACTTGACCTACTCTTGGGAAATAAGGCAGGGCAATAGACTGAGATGTCAGTGGGGGAGCACTTTGGGGCCAGTGACCATAATTCTATTAGTTTTAAAATACTGATGGAAAAGGATAGACCAGATCTAAAAGTTACATTTTTAAATTGGAGGAAGCCCAATTTTGACAGTATTAGGCAAGAACTTTCAAAAGTTGATTGTGAAAGGGCTATTCACAGGTAAAGGGATGGTTGGAAAGTGGAAGACCTTCTAAAATGGGATAACAAGAGTCTAGAGACAGTATGTTCCTGTTAGTGTGAAGGGCAAGGCTGGTAGATGTAGAGAATGCTGGATGACTAGAGAAATTGAGGCGATGGTCAGGAAAAGGAAGAAGGCATAAGGCAGGTATAGACAGCTGAGATCAAGTGATACTCTGGAGGAGTATAAGGGCAGTAGGAATATACTTAAGAGTGAAATCAGGAGGGCAAAAAGGGGATATGAGATAGCTCTGGCAAATAGGGTTAAGGAGAATCCAAAGAGATTCTACATATATATTAAGGACAAAAGAGTAACTCAGGAGAGAATAGGGCCCCTTAAAGATCAAGAAGGCCATCTACATGTAGGACCACAGGAGATGGGTGAGCTATTAAATGAGTATTTACTATGGAGAAGGATATGCAAGCCAAAGGACCTGGAGAAATAAATAGTGATATCTTGAAAAGTTTCTATTTAACAAAAGAGGAGGTGTTAGACATCTTAAAATGTATAAAGGTGGATAAATCCCCAGGACCTGTTCAGGTATACCCCAGAACATTGTGGGAAGGTAGGGAAGTGATTGCTGGGCCCCTTGCTGAAATATTTGTATCATTTGACAGCCAAGACTGGAGGTTAGCTAATGTGGTGCTATTAGGAGTTGTTAGTTGGTTCGGTGAGCTGACCGGTTTCTCATGCAAACGTTTCATCCCCCGTCTAAGTGACATCTTCAGTGCTGTCTAGCATCTGTTGAGGCATTTTGACTGGTTTTCCTGTTCAGTGTAGGGACTGTAGTTTATCGGATAGCCTGTTGTATTTCGTCCGTGAGTCCGTTAGATTTCAGAGTAGCCTCAAATGCAGGCTAGAAGTCTCTTTTGTTAGCATCCTTGTAGTTATAGTTAAGTTCCCGCATTAGGACAGCTTTCTCGCTGTCTGACAGATTTCTTATCCACATATCTGGTTTGGTCTTGTCCTTGCTATGCATCAATTTCATCAGCTTTTCCTGTAGTCTGAGTCTCTTCTTAGTTCTGGTCCTGTTTTGCTTGATACTGATGGTCTGTTTGAGAGTTTTGGTCCGCTGTTGGTCAGTCGAGTTCAAGTATAAACAGCGTTTCAATAGAGACTAGACAGCCCTGAAGGTGTCAGCTAGAAGGGGGACAAAACGTTTGCATGAAAACTGGTCAGCTCGGCAAACCAACCAACAACTCCAGCCACAACCCGAGCTACAGATCTTCTTTAAAACATTAAACACCCACAGGAGAAACATGCTCAAACAAGCCTGAAAATGGGAAACCTATGCCAACCGGCTGAGTGCTACCCACGAGCAACTCCATTGTCTACATGAATGCATCAGAAACCAGATACTACCTCAGTGTCAAATACAAACCTCCCCTTAACAACCCACAAGCAAGAAAAACAGCTAAACAAAACGGCCACAGGACACTACGAGTTACGATAACGGACACCCATAACCACCTCCACAAATATGAGCAAGAAATTGGCTTCGATGGGAGCTCGACAGCACTGAAGATGTCACCTAGAAGGGGGATGAAACATTTGCATTAAAACCAGTCAGCTTGGTGAACCAACCAGCAACACCAGCCACAACCTGAGCTACAGGTGGTGCCATTATTTAAGGAAGGGCAAAGACTGATCAGGGATAGTCAACATGGCTTTGTGCGCGAGAAATCGTGTCTCACCTCACCTGATTAAATTTTTTGAAAAAGTGATAAAGAAGATTGAAGGAAGAGCAGTAGACACTGTCTATGTGGACTTCAGCAAGGTGTTCGACAAGGTTCCGCATGGTAGACTAATTAGCAAAGTTAGATGACATGGAATCCAAGGGGAGCTAGCCAATTGGATGCAAAATTAGCTTGAAGGTAGAAGACAGAGGGTGGTGGTGGAGGGTTGTGTTTTGGATTGGAGGCCTGTGACCAGCGGTGTGCTACAAGGTTGGTGCTGGGTCCATGGATTTAGATGTGAATAAAGGAGGTGTCATTTGTGAGTTGGCAGATGAAACCAAAATTGGAGGTGTAGTGTACAGTGAAGAAGATTATCTCCAGAGTACAATGGGACCTTTATCAGATGGGCCAATGGGCCAAGGAGTGGCAGATGGAGTTTAATTTAAATAAATGTTAGGTGCTTCAGGTTAGAGTGTTGCCAAACAAAGGGACCTAGAGGTGCAAGTGCATAATTCCTTGAAAGTGGGGTCGCAGGTAGACAGGGTGATGAAGAAGGTATTTGGCATCCTTGTCTTAATCGGTCAGTGCATTGAGTAGAGGAGTTGGGAGGTCATGTTGTGGCGATACAGGACATTGGCTAGGCCACTTTTGGAATACTGTGTGCAATTCTGGTCTCCTTGCTATAGTAAAGCTGTTGTTAAACTTGAAAGGGTTGAGAAAAGATTTACGAGGATGTTGCCAGAGTTGGAGGGGTTGAGCTACAGGGAGAGGGTGAATAAACTTGGATTATTCTCCCTGGAGTGTCAGAGGCTGAGGGGTGACCTTATAGAGGTTTATAAAATCGTGAGGGGCATGGATAGCGTAAATAGACAAGGTCTTTTTCCCAGGGTAGAGGAGTTCAAAACTAGCAGGCAAGGGTTTAAGATGAGAGGAGAAAGATTTAAAAGGGACCCAAGGGGCAATCTTTTCAAACAGAGGGTGGTGTGTGTATGGAATGAGCTGCTAGAGGAAGTGGTGGAGGTGGGTACAAATGCAACATTTAAAAGGCATCTGAGTGGGTACATGAATGGGGAAGGGTTAAGAGGGACATGGGCCAAATGCTGGCAAATAGGACCAGATCAATGTATCTGGTTGCATGGACAAGTTAGACCAAAGAGTCTGTTCCATGCTGTGTAGCTCTACAATTCTGTAAGTGAAAATTAACACATGAAAGTTGAAGTTGTCATCTTATTGTTCACTGCTCTGCCACAAGCTGTACAGTGGTCTTGCCTTACCCCACTGCTTCTAGCCAGCATCATGAAGTGATAAGAACATCTCCTTTTCAGCCTTCAGTGATAATTAGAAATTCTGTAAACAGTTATAACTTGTTTAATCGGTTGTACCCCAGGCCTTTAGCATTAATTTGTCCAATAAGGGCAGCTGGGCCATTTGAAATCTGAGGCGGTCATCATCTCTACCCTTTGTATGTCACCTTAGAGAAGGTTCCTGCTCTGGGTTACAATCCTGAACCAGTGAAAATGGCAGAAATGACAGAACTTTGAGGGCCATCAGCTGCTTACAGGCAGTGGATCCTACAGACGACTGTATTTCTTTCAAGAAGGGGATCTTACTGACAATGGATCTTTCAGGGAGGAAATGATTATTTCCTTTAATCACAACTATTTTTATTAACTCGTGAGACATGGGGGTCACTGGCTGGACCAGTATTTATTGTCCATCCCTTGTTGCCTTTGAGAAGTTGCCTCTCTGAGTGTACCGATAGTAAGGACACAACAAACTTCCTTTAATATCGATACACTCAGACAATGAAGGCCATCAGTTTAACTGGGACAAGGTAACCATAGTAACCCAAGTCAAACATAGACACACACAGGAATTCCTAGAGGCATGGTTCTCCACCCATAATGCAATCAACAAACACATAGAATTGGATCCGATATACAAAACCCATACAGATCAAAACTGTAAATGACACTACTCACCATAACGGACCAGACAGTATAAATTCCAAGTGAAGTAGAATAACATCGCTTCATCGGAGGCTGCACTAATGGTGTTACCTAGTATGGTGATGAAACATCTGAAGGAGAACAAGCCAGCTCGGCAAGCAATTCAACAACCTCAGTCCTCTGGCCCTTCATTGTGTTGTTACAAATTAATTTTCATATTTATTTTATGTCTTGGATTTTAAGGTGAAAAATGGCTTTGAACTCATGATATTGCAAAATTTGAGAATCATTGTCTGATTTTTTTTAAAATTTGTTTTTGGGATATGAGTATTTCTGATCAAAACAATATTTATTGTCCATTCCTAATTGTCCGGTGGGTAGTTAAGAGTTAACCACATTGCTGAAAGTCCACAGTCACATGTAGACCAGACTAGGTAAGGATGGCAGATTTCCTTCCCTAAAGGAGTTTAGTGAACCAGAAGAGTATTTTTAACGGTGCTTAGCTGGTCACCATTGGACCACCTTTTAATTAAATTGTGTTGAATGTTATTACTACTTTATCAAATTAAGAATTAAAATTTATTTAAAACTTTTTTATACAGTTTGAGATTGCATCATCAGTCATAGGTTTTGAACCCATGGCCCTAAAACATTAGCCTGGGTTAGCCAACAAGTTATTGTGATATTACCACTATCATCCTTGCCACCCCCCCAACTTTGCATTGAATGAACTCTTTAAAAGAAACAAGGAGTGAATTAATTTTGTTTATCTTGAAACAGCAGGGAAAGATAATGCACAAAATAGAAACAATATTGTTTGAGAAATGTGCCAAGTGATATATTCACCATCAATTATAAAGCCTAATGAACAAATATTGTTTTATTCCTAATTTTCCTGTGAAGTTTATTTTTGTATTTAACTACTTCACACTTAATTTAGGTGTTACTTTTGGAAGAATCGGATAAATATCAAATATTCAGTGATAAAGAACGTGAGGAATTTGTCTTTCGTATCTTCAAACATCTCTGTTTGGGTGGAGTCCTCTGCCAATATGAAGACACAATTGATCCTTATCTGGAAACCTGCAAGACAATGTACAAGGAGTTGGTCAGGTTTGAAAAATATGTCCTCAGTTTATTTTCTTTGAGTAGCAAAGTATAGACTTTTCAAGGCCTCAGTTTGCACCTGTTGAGTAAACTTGGAGAGTTCTTCACCTGTCTGTTTCATGGCAATATCCAAAATGGTCTGGGACATTTCCTGTATCTTAACTAAAGGTATCTTTTCTTTCTTTCTAACTTAATAATTCTTCAACTTTGTTCGTGTTCGCTGTATATTTTATCCTGTACTCCATAACAGTAAGATATGGAGGAAAACTTGCAACAGCAAATTTGCTGGACTAGTGAGGAGGAAACCTTCAGTCCTGTTATTGCTTGTATTTGTGCTTCTTCTCCTTCTGATGTGAATGCAGACAATGCAACGTTGCATTTACAGGAAAGTTGCACAGTTTGTGATGCATTCATTTTGCTGTTTTGCTATTGTATTTGCCTTACGGCTTGAAGCCCTAAGAATTGAACAAAAAACATAGTAATCTTGACCAAAGAGCCCTGAATAAAAACCAAAAGAACTGCGGATGCTGTAAATCAGGAACAAAAACAAAGTTGCTGGAAAAGCTCAGCAGGTCTGGCAGCATCTGTGGAGGAGAAAACAGTTAACGTTTCGGGTCCAGTGACCCTTCCTCAGAACTGATGGTGGCTGGGAAAACGTCAGTTTATGTGCAGAAAATAGGGACGTGGGTTGGGTAGGGAGTAAACGATAGGATAGAGCCCAAAGAGAGAGAGAGACTGTTGGACAGACAAAGGAGTTGCTAACGATCAGGCTGGAAGGGTGAATAGTTAATAGGATCTGTTAGTGACTAACAACAGGGGGTGTGTAGTGGCAGGCTACGTGGTAACAAGGCCTAGTGTGTGGGGTGGGGGTCTGGGATACGGGAGAGTTTAGGCCCTAAAATTATTGAACTCAATATTGAGTCCGGAGGGCTGTAGAGTCCCCAAGCAGAAAATGAGGTGTTGTTCCTCCAGCTTGCGCTGGGCTTCACTGGAACACTGTAGCAAGCCGGAGACAGAGATGTTGGCCAGGGAGCAAAGTGGTGCATTGAAGTGGCAGGCAACAGGTAGTTCAGGATCTTTTTTGCGAGCAGAACGTAGATGTTCTGCGAAGCAGTCGCCAAGTCTACGCTTCGTTTCCCCAATGTAGAGGAGACCACATTGTGAGCAGCGAATGCAGTAGACTAGATTCTTGGAAGTGCGGGTGAAGTGTTGTTCACCTGGAAGGTATGTTTGCTGCCTTGGATACTGGGGAGGGAGGAGGTAAATGCACAGGTGTTGCACCCTCGCCGGTTACAGGGGAAGGTGCCGTAGGGCTGTGGGGAGGTGTTGGGGGTGAAGGAAGTATGGACCAGGGTGTCCTGGTGGGAACGGTCCCTGATCATCAGACGCCATTTCCGCCACCTCCATCAAGATGCCACCACCAGACACATATTCCCCTCCCCTCCCTTGTCCGCCTTCCGCAGGGACCGTTCCCTCCGGGACATCCTGATCCATACTTCCTTCACCCCCAACACCTCCCCACAGCCCTACAGCAACTTCCCCTGTAACCAGTGAAGGTGTAACACCTGCGCATTTACCTCCTCCCTCCCCAGTATCCAAGGGCCCAAACGCACCTTCATGGTGAACAACACTTCACCTGCACTTCCAAGAATCTAGCCTACTGCATTCGCTGCTCACAATGTGGTCTCCTCTACACTGGGGAAATGAAGCGTAGACTTGGTGACTGCTTCGCAGAACATCTACGTTCTGTTCGCAAAAAGGACCCTGAACTACCTGTTGCCTGCCACTTCAATGCACCACCTTGCTCCCTGGCCAACATCTCTGTCTCCTGCTTTCTACAGTGTTCCAGTGAAGCCCAGTGCAAGCTGGAGGAACAACACCTCATTTTCTGCTTGGGGGACCCTATAGCCCTCCGGACTCAATATTGAGTTCAATAATTTTACGGCCTAAACTCTCCCATGTCCCAGCCCCCCACCTCACACACCAGGCTTTGTTACCACATAGTCTGCCACTACACACCCCCTGTTGTTAGTCACTAACAGTCCCCATTAACAACTATTCACCCTCCCAGCTTGATTGTTAGCAACTCCTTTGTCTGTCCAACTGTCTTTCTCTCTCTTTGGGCTCTATCCTATTGTTTACTCCTTACCCCACCCACCTCCCTATTTTCTGCATATAAACTGACGTTTTCCCAGTCACCATCAGTTCTGAGGAAGAGTCACCGGACCCGAAACGTTAACTCTGTTTTCTCCTCCACAGATGCTGCCAGACCTGCTGAGCTTTTCCAGCAACTATGTTTTTGTGCAAAGAGCCCTGAAGTTGTTTGGGATGTATCAGTATCACATTGCCTTCAATTACATCAGGCCTCAGTGGAGATCTTCCCACTTGCTTGGATATTGGTTTGTAGCTGAATGGACAGAATGAAAAGTTTGTTGAAAAGTATGAAGGTGTGAGAATAATATGCAAAGCTGAAATTGAGGAATCTAATAAACTGCAAGAGTGAGCCATGAGCAATTTAAGGTGATCAGGAGATCTTTAAGTTTTATGTTACAGCACAAAGCATTGTCCTGTTTACTTCATTTCTTTATGCACTATATATTTACATGAATTTTTCCTTTGCAAATATATATATTTTGTCTTGTGTTCAGACAGTCAGAAATATATTGGTAATTAATGCATCAAAGATACTCAGTTTATGGTTATTCACAATCATGGTTTTTTTACGTGAAAATATATGGCAGATGTGAAAGGATCTTGCAGTAATTATGATGAAAATATACCTATTACTGAGGATCATTGAAGGAAATTAAAGAACTTCATTAGGAATTAATTCACGGCACCTCACTAGGAATTGCAAATCTTATGTACAATGGTACATAGGAAACAAAGGAGGTAATTTAAAGATTCTTACTTTACAGTTCCTTAATTTTGTAAAACTACTTGTAAAATTTACCAGGATGTGATAAACTACTGGGATGCACTTGGCAATACTGACAATGTTGGCGTGTTTGGTTCTACATCCAGTTTATAAATTTGTTACATAATAATCAGGTTTTATTGGAGGCTCACTGAAAGTTCCTGCAATAACTATTAATCTTGTAGAGGGTTTTGAGATCGCTATGATGCTGGAGTACATGAAGTGTGTGCTTCCTTGAAATCTCAGGTATTTCCTGTTGGGTTATTATGGCCTTAGGTACTCCTCCCATTCCATTCCATTTTAACCGAAGAGGACCTCTCTCAATATGCCCGTGACCAAATACTTCTCCTCGCCTGTTATATCTATAAGGTGTTTACTGAGATGGGGGAGAACGTTTACTTATTTTAGGTGAAATTCTGAATTTGTTTTTGAAATATATGTTGCTATAGTGTGTTGCTGGAACAGTAACGGTGTTTCAGAAAGTCACCTAAAATTTTTTGAGGCCCTATTCAAGTTATTATGAAATGATGAATATTCCTCGACAGAGCATCAGAAAGCCACAGCAACACTGTTTAATCTTCCTCCTCCTACGCCTAATCCCTACGCCGGTGTGCTCCTGCTGCTTCTTGGTTTGAGTAAGAGTTGCTCTCGTGTCCAGTTGCAGTGTTTGTTGTTGATTAGCGAATACTGCAGCTGGGCTGAATGGACTGATGTCCTATTTGGGGCAGAGGCTTGTTCCTGGATGTTCTGAGAGCACACTCCTTCCTCCTTCCACTTTGTGGTGCAAATCCAAGACCTTCCCAAAGGCTTTTCTGCTGAGGCACCGCCAGTACTTTGTTACTCACAAACCTTTACAATGTTTTGCCTGAGGGCTTCCTGCTGTGATCCTGACTACACAGAACTAGTATGCTTTGCTTAGGCTTCTAAAGCCTGGATATCTCCTCTGGAGACTGCCTGCAGTCTGTAAGGCCGTGCTGTAGGTAACACCTCACAAAATCAAGACCTACAAGTATTCATGGCATCAATTTTCTTATGAATGCCAACACCAGTTGTTGACTTTCCATCATTTCACTTCCACGATTATTGTTGTGATGCCTAATTATTTGTTTAACATGAACACGAGTCTGTATACTCTCTAATCAATGTATACATTGTTTATTCCTACAAGAGAATTGACAACATAGCTCCTGATCTCACCCTCTTTCCTGGCTGCTCCCTGAGCTCTATTCTAACTCCACTCACCATCTCTGCTCCCACCTTATATTCTGAGACATTACCAAGTCTATCTACTGCCACCTTTTAATGTGTTTAGCTTGAACCCCACACACCCTGCTGTTTCAGACATCAACTTTTCTCCACTTCCCATCTACAAATTCAACTTCTCCAATGTTTGCCTTACAAATCAGAGGCAACTCATTTGCAATTCCACACTCATTGCATTCAATTCAAATATCATCTCCCTATCATGTCCAAAGCTCTATATTCTTCACAGTCTTTCTTCACCTCTTCAGCCATTGAGGACTGTTTGGACTAATTTAATCAGGAACTCGCCCCTGACAATGTTGCCATGGCTGTTCCTGACAGGAGCAAGGAGCTCATGATAGCATCAGTCAAATTCTTGCCTGGCTGTTGAAACCTCTCCTTGTCCCGGATGGGGATCTGTGGAAAGAATGCATGAATCCAACCTTCTACAAATTACAGCAGTGAGTCTTTGACCACAAAAATCTCCACAAGTCAACAAAGGTCACAGTATACAGAGAATTTATCATTAATAATATCTGTACTGCAAAGAGACCTAAACCCCCTATATAAACACGGGTGCTGAAGAAATTTCATCACTATTTCCTCCACCACATCCTCTGGATTTAATGAGAGGACTGCCAAACTAACACTAGTGTCCTATTGAAGCAAGGTCTTCACTAACATCGGGTCTGTACTTATTGGGTCTGCTCTGCCATTCAATGGGCCGAATGATCTACTTCCTCTCCTGTTTCTTCTGTTCTTATTCAGGCAAAACTCAATTACAATGGACTAGACACCATTTCTGGATTGTGAAGAAGTATCTTCCTCAACGGATCCTGTTTTCTGA